AAAATGATAGTGTGAAACATCCCAGTAAATTGTAATTAGGTGCAGATACCCCAAATATAATTTTATCCTTTCTGGATACCTATTCCATTAGAGGTTTGAGTGGACCAATCCCTTTTCCCCTCAACCTCCCAGCTCTCTAGTTTTGTTTCTTTTAGTGGTGATCTGAGATGTTTTATGCAACAGATGCTTTAAACCATGAATTAATTTACAGGCAATCTGGCTTCTTATACTTTTAGAGCTCTCTCTCTTTCCTTTCTTCAGCTTGAAAGTCAGCGTTGTTGTTTCTTAAAGAAAAACAACATGAAAATCCAAGATCTCACTGCAACTTTAATAACTAGTGTATCCTTAGGAAGGACTGGAATTCCTGCTTTGTGGATTCCGGGTAGACTTAGAAGTTCTAACTCCAGGTTTGTTACTCCAGTATTATATGTATTACTATCAGTGAATCCTGGAAGCTTGAAAAACCTTCTCATTTGTTTTTTAGAATGCTGAAATTAATATTTTATCTTTTGAGGGTGCTCCCATTTCACTTCCAAAGTGTAGGCTTTCAATCACTTGGGAACATTAACTGAAAAATGATTATTTGCAACCACAGATATTTTGTGATAATAAATACAGATACCTAAACAGTTTGTTGAACTATACTATGTGTTAACTTTTATAATAAATACTTAACTAAAAAGGAGCACTTAGTACACATAGCTTATCCAAATGACTACCATAAAAGTACAGTTTGGGGTAACCGAAACCATGCCTGCATTGTGTGGCATCTTTGCATCATTCATGAGGGCAGAAGTCTGTAGACAAGCTTTCATGGGGTTCAGGTGACAGGAAGGAAAACCTTTGCCAACAAGGTCCACTCAGATTGACTATATAATGGCATCCTATCATCAGTGAGAGTGAAAGTATGGGCTCCTATGAATGATAGGATTTTAACTGTAGGTTTGTCAAATGTCTAACCCTCTTCTGCTTGCATACCACTTTATAGGTTAGGCCAATGGATGGTATACAACCCTGAAGTTGCTTCAGTTACAGGTATAAGCATACCTAAAATGAATGAAAATTTGTTTCCCTCTGCTCACTTTCTCTCTTAATTAACAGAAATTGAAGAATCAATTCTGTTCTTGTTTTCTGTTTGGCATCCAAAGATTCAATTGAGGAAGCTGGAGGTTTATCTATGCGCCAAATAGATCAATAACAAATCTGCTCTTCCTGTTCCTGAAAATAAATGTAAATTTAAATGAAGCCTACCATTCTTTCCTGCACCTTTTTTAATACCAAAGAAATAAAATTGTCATAACCACCTTTTCAGGCCACTCTCTTTCCAGGTTTTAATTTACAATATAATTGCCTGCTTTATTTTCTTTTCCTGAGGGCTGCAACACTGAATAATCTTATGTTCACTCGACACACACAGATAGACGTGCAAGACAGCCTGAGGGGCAGATACAAATCAGAATCTCTCTGCTAGGCCATGCTGGGAAAGCGGGGTTCTAACTACCTCCTCTCCTTATACCTGCCATCTTCATGGTGCTGTAGCTGAGCCATGCAGAAAGCACAAAGACATTCTGTGACTAGAGACCACAAGCAAGCTAATCTGATTTTTTGGTTTCCTACTCTGTTTTGCTTCACTTTTTCTTACTTTCTTAAATGAAGCCTTTGATCAGCTTTATTCTCTTATTTTCATTTCCCATCATTTATTCATTCATTTATACATATATTGTAAGCAAGCAAACACACAAAAAACCCGGTTATTCTAATCAGGGCATTTCAGTACTAAAAAGAGCTCTCAAGGATACTTACAGCACCAAACTATACAGTGCTAGTGTAAACTGAATCCATTTATCAGAAATATAAAATAGGTCAGTGGCCTTTAGGAATGTTTTAAAGGATTAATTAGAAGTCATCAGTTAACCTAGAAGGTGCCAGTGAGCAGCCCAAACCAGAACATGCTTGGAATGACATAACTGAGAAGGAAAATTGTATTATATGGTTAGAAGTCATTGTGTATGTTCTGTGATTTGTTACACATGGTGTTGCAAACGACATCATTAGGTAGTCTTTCTTTGTGCTGGTTCTGCCGGTTCTGATAGCAGTTATGCTACTACTACTAAAACAATGCTAATGCTTGTTGTTGTTTTCCCTGCTAGCATAATGTCAGTCATATCCCTAGCTTCATGGTGTGTTGCATTAATTCCACAACTGCATTGTCCATTTTGAACCTCAGGTTTGAGAGAAGTGCGCAAAAAAGAAGACAGAGCTTTCACAATGGCAGACTCCGAGATCTCTCAAGAAAACATAGAACAGGGTGGAAGCTAACAAAAAGAAAAACAAATGAATGAACAAGCTTGCAACCAGGGGTGAACAAAGCTGTCAGTTTTGCTTTTCCCTGTCTCTGTTAAAAAAAAGTCATCTTTTCATTCTGACTAGGAAGAAACGTCTCACTCATCTGCCACAGCCAAATACAAGAAGAAGGGCTATTGCTAGCATGGAGAGCACTGTGATTTGCCTTCCTTTCATATAGCTGTTATAGATGAGGAGCTTGCCATGGGGGTGGGGAGAGAGGGAAGGATGTGGCAGCTGTAATTCAGTACCACAAACATGGCTGAGTACACAGGGATTCAAACTAAACCTTTGAAGAACTAAGTGCTGAAAACTCCAGACTCAGATGCGTGAAGCAGCCATAGTTCATTTTTCTCATATTCAAACTTGTTTAATCTAAGTTTCTTTGCATCTATATCCCCTGGTTCAAGAAACAAAATACAGTTGTGATTTAAACATGCAACAAACAATATTCCATTTGGCTAATAGACTAACACAAATAACTCTCTCGCTCCAGTACTGGTTCTCCATCAGACTGTGTTGTGGGGAGAAGGGGGATCCCTCTTACAATTCCAGTAGTTTTGGAAAAGCAGGCTTTGCCTGTGTTTGTTGCTGATGACGTTTTACAGTTTACACGAAGGCGTTTCTATGGGGAGGTATTTCATTTCATCACGATGAGCACTCTCAAGCACTTGTACAATCAACTGACGAAAGTTAAAACAGCTGTTCTCCAGCTTAATGATTCTATACTGTAGATCCTTAATGAAGAAGAGTGTGTCATGGAACAATGTGGCACAGTGAAAGAGCAGTCCTGGGCTGACTTCTTGGTTTAACAGATTGCTATGTTTTATTTTTACAAGTTAGCAATATGGAATTGCTTGCAGATCAAGTTGTACATACTTTTCAAAATGCATTAACATGTTGTATTACTCATTCTGAGCAATAGGAAACAGTAGGAAAATGTGCCAGTGAAACACCACCCCCTGGAGTTTGTCACCAGCAGATTATATGCACTGAAGCATCTTATCTGGCAGTATCTATTAATGCAAGAAATTATTGTAGCAAATACTTAAGATATTCACTTTTTCTAAGAAAGGCTCTTTGTGTTTCTATTTCTATAGACTTCCACAGTTGAATGAGCATTTCACTGCTCGCATTTTGTTTTAGTCATTCTGTATTGTTTGGGTATCCTAAGATCAAGGGAAAATAAATTTGATCATTTGCGAAGGAAAAGATTTTGAAGAGAAAGTATCGAGTTAAATAAGGCGCTACTAAACATGAATAAATGGCAATATTCTGTGATATTAACACAGGAAAAGATTCACTTGCCAGCTTTTAGAGATGGCGTAATTATTTGAAGCTTGTAATCTCTATCATTTCTGGCTGGAGGACACCTGCCCAGTTCTCTGTTGTTATTCCTCCCTTTTCCAATGCAGAAGAGCTCTGGCGTATTCAAGCTGAACGCTTTAAAACACCCATCAATGTTTTCAAGGGTTCAAAGCATTCATATTTGTTACAGTACTATACCACTGAGTAGCTGAGGCTCTCTATACCATTAGCAACAATTAAACATAAAATGCTGCATAAAGTACATTACAAAATTTAAAAAATTAATGACCATGTAAAATACAAGTAAAAGTCAAAGTAAAACCTAGCAGCAGTGCAGATTTAAAATATAGGAAATGGTTCAAAACATCAGAGACTGAAAACGTACATTTCTGAAATATAAAACCATTATGTTGCTGCTGCTGTTGTTGTTCATATTATTTCTTATATTTGTAAACTGCCCAGAGAACCCAGTGGGGCAGTATATAATACAACCCACTAAAATCAATGGACCTCAACCTGGAACCAAACAGAGCGCAAGGTATTTGTCAGGAAACCTGCTCTGGAAAGTTTATTCTCCACCCAGGGTGCCACAGCAGAAATGTCCTTCTTAAGATTAATATTGTTCACCAGTACCTATTATTTTCATGGACATCACACTAGAAGTTTTGCAGTTTAGACTTTGGCTTCCTGCCTTTTGAGCGACACAGTTTGGTGGCCAGAGGAGTGGGATTGGCTGAGACTTTCATTCCCTTGTCTTGGAAGTCAGCAAGGGGCTGATGGTGGTAAATTTCAAACCATCTGGAAGGAAGAATGTTTTGGAAGCCAGGTCCCAGTGGCTTTCAGTAGCTTTTTAGGAGTCTTCCCCTGTCCTAACAAGAAGTGTTATACCTGTGCATTGAACCCAAGTACTTGCACATGCAATACATTTACCCTGCCACTGAGTTATCATCCTCCCCACTTTGGATCTGAATGCTTAACCTTGCTTAATTTAAACAGGAAAGCGTAAATTAAAATTAAGGCAACCATTTTTAGTGAACTGATAGCCATGAAGATAATTTAGAAGCAATAGAATTTCTTAAAGGTACAGCAAGACCTACAGTGTAGCTAGGATATAATGAAAATCCATATTAGGATGCTGAAAATAAGACAGAAAGTGCCACTTTTCTCCAGCATGTTCTGTTTTTTCACATGGCCTTCAGTTCTAGTCCAAATTGACTTCCTTGAAGAGAAATGCTAGTGGTTATTCTGTCTTCAACTTCTACTCACCCTCAGCAAAATAAAAAATAAAAATTGCAGGACCCTATTGTATGAGAGATTAGAAAAACATAACAGTTGCTATTCTTTTACAGCTTGTCGGCCGGGATTTTACAAAGCCTTTGCTGGTAATGTTAAGTGTGCCAAATGCCCACCTCATAGTTCTACAAATGTGGAAAGTTCTACAGATTGCAAGTGTGAAAAGAATTACTTCCGATCAGAGAAAGACCCTCCATCCATGGCTTGCACAAGTGAGTAACATTATTATCTTCAAACTGTGCCTTTATTTCATGCTTTAATTCATGATAGGATCCAATTTTGTTTCAGCCTGTTATTGTCACAATTTTTAAAAAATACATTTGAATGTAAAGCTCTGCATACTATCATACTGTAATGTTCTTATGTTGCTCTTTTTGAGAGCATCCTTGAACTAGGAAGTTTGCATGCCATGATGACCACGCAAATGTTTGTACAGTTTTTTATTGTAACCATCTTGAAGCAGGGCTTCTCTCTTTCTTTTGTTTTTCATTCATCTTGCTCTGTAACATGCCATCAGCATTGATTGTGCTTTATATCATCCTCATCAATAATAGTACTAAGGGTAATTAGTAAACAGTGACACTTTGAAACAGCATGGGAAACTGAAGAAGTAAATTTATTTCTTAATACTGGGAGTCAGCATTCTCATTCAGTCATTGTACAAGTTCAGGCAAGCATGCTTGAGAGCAAGCATGTCAGTTGTGGGTCTTGATGTCCAAAATATGTAAGAACATACATTTATGTATGAATTTGTATGCCGTCCAATAACTTGCGTCTCTGGGTGGCTTACAACATTTTATTTATTTATTTATTAAAGCATTTCTATGCCGCCCCTTGCCGAAGCCTCGGGGCGGCTCACAACATAGAAAAAATACACAATAAATTAAAACAATAACAATTAAAATATATACATTAGAATAAAATAAGCCGCCCTGGCCAAATAATATTCAATAATATTAACATTTAAAATGCTGCCTAAATAAAAAGGTCTTCGCCTGGCGCCGAAAAACAAATAACGACGGTGCCAGGCGGACCTCTCTGGGGAGCGCGTTCCATAACTTAGGCACCACCACTGAGAATGCCCTCCTCCGAGTAACCACCCTCCTAATTTCCTTCACTGAGGGCTCCCGGAGGAGGGCCTCTCCCGCCGATCTCAGGGGGCGGCTGGGCATATAAGGATGTAAGCGCTCCTTCAGGTAACCAGGACCCAAGCCATTTAGGGCTTTATAGGTCATCACCAACACCTTGAATTGGGCCCGGACTTCAATGGGAAGCCAGTGAAGCTGCTGGAGAACTGGAGTCATGTGAACATAACGTCAGCAGCCTGGCAGCTCTATTTTGAACCAATTGAAGTATCCGGACCGTCTTCAAGGGTAGCCCCACGTAGAGCGCGTTACAGAAGTCAAGACAGGAAGTCAACAGTGCATGAGTCACTGTTGCGAGGCAGTCGTACTCCAGGAACATTTCTTCAGGATCTGCCTTGTACTTTTTCCATAGTAAAGCATATTGCAGGGGTGGCCAAACCAAGGCTTGGGAGATGCATGCGATTCTTTGGTTTTATTTTGTGGATGGCAGCTCTCTGCCTACAGCCTCCACCCACAGGGGCTTCCTTGTGGCTGTCAAACATCTACTATTTGTGGCTCTTCCTTTGAGCAAGTCTGGCCACCACTGACATATAGCATGGTTTTACATATTGTTCTTTGTTTCATTTCCCTGCTATTTCTTATCAATTATAAAGAGTAAAAGATAGCAACATTTCTAAAACTGATAACTAAACTTTTCAGACCAAAACTTCATAACAGTGTTTGTGATGATTAGAAAATTGTTGTAAATGCCTCTGTAAGGGCAGTCATTGTTTGAAGAGTGATACTCTAGGTAAGCATTGGTTTAAAAAACACTTTAGAAATGTGTGTCTGCCTTTGAAAATATGTAACAGACTACAGAAACAATACGGAAAGGACTATTATCAAATACATGCTTGAATTACTTTATCATCCTAGTAGAGTTTATCAAACAAAAACAAAAGCAGGTATTTTGTTTCCATTTACTCTGCAGGACCACCTTCTGCTCCCAGAAATGTTATCTCCAATATAAACGAAACATCAGTCATCCTAGACTGGAGCTGGCCTTTGGACACTGGGGGCAGGAAGGATGTCACTTTCAACATTGTATGCAAGAAATGTGGGGGAACCACCAAACTGTGTGAGCCTTGTTCTGCTAATGTAAGGTTCCTGCCACGTCAGATTGGGCTCACCAACACCACCGTGACTGTAGTAGACCTCCTGGCTCACATGAATTACACATTTGAGATAGATGCGGTTAATGGAGTGTCTGATTTGAGTACCCTCACAAGACAATTTGCTGCAGTCAGCATTACAACCAATCAAGCTGGTAAGTACTAATTTTTCCATGATTCTTTTACTGTCCTAGCCTGAGAAAGTTTCCCACATCTTATGTCATCCTTCCCTGTCCCACACATCCTATCTGTTCTTCTGTCAGCACTAGACCAAGGAGTTCTTTGTTCTTTGGTGGACAAACCAGAACTTGTGGTAGCCAGAAAATACCTCTGCCCCCAAGCTGAAGGGTATTGTCTTCTGCTTATGTCCAATAGCTTGTTGCAGATTTCATGCTGCCTTTTTAATTAATTTATTTGATTTGTACTCTGACTTTCTACTGCAATAAGTAGAATAAGTGAATAAATTTATAAGTGAATAAATGATACTCAAGGGACAAACACAATGGATTAAAACAGAAAACAATTGTTTGATGTCTGGAAAACCGGTGAAGATCAGCGTGGACAACATCGGATCTTCAGTTGGTGGGTAGTGTAGGTGCCAAGAGGTTTGGCACAATAACTATTTCGATTCACTCCCACTCTCCAGTCAGCAGTGTCAAATAACACTTCAGTGCATTGCCACAGAAAGAATGTGTTTTATTAATAAAATCAGATTTTAATGAAAGGCTCTTTCCAGTAATCTCTAATATAAATTATGGCGGTCATGTAAGTGATTAATTTTGATTTAATAGAAGTGAAGAAAATGAAGTGCTTTGATGTTAGGCATATAAAAGATGAACATTGGCACTACAAAAGCTTTAATAATGTTATGGATTATATTTTTTGCTGCTCCATGTTTCCTGCTTTCCCTTCCACCAGCAAGTCCTGATCACCAGCCACTTTAAATGGATATTGCTTGAAAGTGCTGTTTCTGCAATTTATGATGGTCAGATGGACTTAGTGAACCCCATTAATGCCTATGGGATTTGCATTTTCTTTGCTTGGACACTGTATAATTTTCATTTTGGAAAGTTCAAAGTACACTTAATAAAGTGCTGGCAATTACAATATTATTATTTCTTCAAGTGTAGAATATAAACTTGAATTTAGTTTGGCTGTTTAAAGTTTAAGAAAGAAAAGACACACATCTGTAGCAGCTATTTCCCTTTCTATACCACACAGGGCTGTTTGTTTTCTTCAGAATGGAACTTGGGGAAAAAACCCAGAATGGAACCTGAATGCATTCTTTCTTATTTTTCATACTGATGTAAATTGTGTTGGCTTCTTTAGATGTCTAAAGCATCCCTTCATCAAGATGTGTGGTAGAACAAAACTAATAAAACTGATACAGTGGCCCTAATTGATGCATTTTGGTAGCAGTGTGACTGTGAACCAGCATACCTGAGTATTCTGAGTATGATCAGGTGCTTGTATGACTATTTTGGGAAGGTTTTTTGCAAGTGGATCTAGATAAAGGAGAAGATGAAAGCGAGGGCAATTAAAGGTTTGAAATAGTCATGGAGGTGCTGGGGTGATATTATTGCAACACTGCAGGCAGCTAGCTTAGTTTAGGGACCCTTGCATTTCTACCTTTCTCGCAGTTAACATGAAAAGTTGTGGAGAGAGGTGAAACACTGTGGCACATCCCAGCATATAGGTTAGCATGTCCTGTTGATATGCAACCATGGAAGTACAAGGCTTTGTAAATGAGCAGCACCTTCAGAGCATAATAAAAATGTCTTGATGGAAATAGTTTAGGGCTATTAGACCTGTTGGCATATGCATTGTTTGTTTAGTCGTAAAGTCATGCCCAACATATCACGACCCCATGGACAACATTCCTCCAGACTCTCCTGTCCTCCACCATTCCCTAGAGTCCACCCAAGCCCACACCCACTGCCCCAGTGACTCCATCTAGCCACCTCATCCTCTGCTGTCCCCTTCTCCTTTTCCTGTCAATCATTCCCAGCATCAGGGTCTTCTCCAGTGAGTTTTTATTTAGGAGTAATTCATATGTCCTTCTTATACCAAAGCAGTGATGGTTTTTGGTAAGTCTGTGTTGAATTGTGATTGTCGAGAACCACACAGCAAAGGTGAATGAAATGCTTAGCTTGCCTCTTTTCTCATGGATATCGTCTTCCAAGGGGGTAGAAGTGGTGTGCAGGGTTACCATATCATTCTCACACATGGTTTTCAAACATTGCACAGTTAACAAGCAGATGTTAATTAGTCATAAAATGTAATACCACACACCCTTTTTCATACAGACCCTGGGATGATTTGCCTTTAACAGCTTCACTGGTGCAATACCGCCAGTTGGGTTTTATTGTCACTTGCAAAATGGAGACAACGTTATCCTATTCCTTCAGAAGCCCACACAGTCAGGCTTCTTCTCACTGCTTTTCAGTACATTGTTAAGGAAGAGGCTTAGAATTGCAGTTATCAGGCATACTGAAGGGAACAAGATTTCATCTCATTTCAGAATAATACATTTTCACACAGATGTTATCTAATAATATCAATCAACCCTGTTTAGGACGGGTCACTGACTGCCACAGGAGATCTATATAAAATGCACAATCCCCTGAGGCAAGGTGCTAATTATGAATGTGTCATGGAGGGAGATGGACAGCTGTGCCAATCTGACAAGCTGATATGCAGATTTCTCTGATCTCCTTACACTGTGTTTACTTGGAAGCTACGTTTTCAGATCTGTTTTTCAGCTGGTTGTATATACAGCAGGTTTAATTTGATGTCTTTGGGTGTATAAATACATGGAGACTTTAGTAAATAGTTGGCATTATATGGACCTCACAAATTAGGGAAAGGATAGCAATGGTCCACTCCACTGCAGCTTCCTGAAGTATATTCAAGACTTGTAAATGTTTATAACCTTCAGTACCAGAAGTCAAAGACAGTATAAAGACTCTATGAAACATTTTTCTTATCAGAAATCACAATAGCAATATTCAAAGAAGATTTAATCGCTTCTCAGCCTTTTGGCTAAGATCAAGTGTAGTAATTCAAAGGTAAACCCAGAAAATATTGCAGATCCCATTTCAGAGGCAAGACCCATAGTTCTGGGAGAATGTGCAGTTCATAGGATCCAGCATTAGCTAGGACATATACATTGCATAAGATTTCAGTTTTGCAGTGTGTTATTAAATTGCACACAATATAGAAATGTATAACATTTGCTAGTTCAATTTAAAAGGATAAATGGAATCTTGAAAAATTGTTGGGAAATACGGTTGCATTCCCTGAAATCTCTGAAGGTAACAGAAGAGACTAGAAACTGTAGCTACAGGAACTATAAATACAAAGTGAATATTTATATACATAGCTAGTTTAGAAATCCAAGAAGCTAAGTAGCTAAGTTGTAAAACTTATCAGCGGTTCTATCTAGCTAGCTAGCTAGCTAGCTAGCTAGCTCTTTATTACTTCAATTTATATGCTGCTACAATAGCCTACATTTGGACTCTCTGAACAGTTTTCTTGAAACAGTTGTGAGGGCAAAGAATCTAAAAGTGTCCAGGTCAGAATGGATAGCTATATGAAGGTCTTTATGTGCTTCTTCCTCCTCCACGCAGTCTCAAGTGTAATCAAGAGGACCAAGGAGGTTTCCCACTGATATGGCTGTTTGCAAAAGGCCTCTCCACAAAGAGAGCCAATACTTGGAGGGGACAGGAGAACTGTGCCTGTCATTTGTGTACCTGCCCTCCCTAGCTTTATCCTGGTGTTTGCACACTGAACATAAGAACAGAGAAACAGAGGAAGCTATCTTATTCTGAGCCAAATCATTGGTCCAGCTATCTCATTACTGGCTGTCTGTGGACCTCTAGGATTTCAGGCAGGAGTATTCCTAGCTCTACCTAGAGATGCAAGGGACTTGAACCTGGAACCTTCTGCATGTAAAGCAGGTGATCTGTCACTGAGCTATGGCCCCTCCTCATAACTGTGTATGTACATAAGCCACTTACAGCCTACAGCCAGTGAGAACTCTTAATTATTAGGGTTCCTGCTCACTCAATAATCTGACATATTTACAATTGCACATCTGGGGACACCTTTTGCCAACATGCTCCTCAATGAACAAGTGTGGATAGAGACCCATATATTGGATATACACAGAGAGCTGCTTTGGTAAACAACTTTTATTTGGTACCTGAGGAACTGCCACAACCAAGGACAAAGTTTGCTTGCTGTTTTCCTTACAATTTATTTATTGCTTTTATTTATGGATGGTACTCAAGGTCTTGCATGGGAATTGCATGGAGAAAGGAAAGTTAAGCCCGTCCTCATGATTCCAGATCTCTCCCCACCCCCAGTACTGCTCAGCTCAACCTCAGGGAACAGCTGAGAAGTGGGGCTTTAGGTGACGTTCACCTCTTTCTACAGTTCAGTCTCTTTTCTCCCTGTGTAGCCATTGACTCTTGATCATCGGATCACCACAGGGGAGAATCAGTGGCGAAGGGAGGTTTAATGGCATTTCATTATGGATGGCTGTCCATAAAGCTAAATGGAAGCTCATTTAAAGTGAGGAGAATTTTCTCTGGCAACTTCTTCAGCTGCTCCCTCACCCTTATATTGCAAAGTGTTTTTCAAACTTAACCAACTTGCTATTCCGTGCTGGTTTTGTAGCTGCCTAAGATCAAAAGCACAGTGGTAATGTGTTGTAGCAAACCTGATGCATTGCTATCAGACTCTTGGGTGGTTCATATCTTTCAATCACCAAAAAGCACCTTATTCTGGGAAGATGGTACAGCTGGATTTACAATATGCTTTGCAAAGACAGTGTATGAGCCACCCCAGATGAAGTTTAGGCTGCTGAAGCAAAGATAGCTTACAATGTGATCATTACAGTCCAGGCAAGAGTGAGCACGCTGCTGTTCACCACTGATCTTTAAGATGACAGATACTGATTTTTAGAGAAACTTTGGTTAGGAAGCTGGTTGGCAGTGAAAGAAAATCCTTCCTATGCTCATGCCATGTCTATTGGTACCCCTGTGACAATTGCACTACTAGACTCACAAATGCCAAAATCTGGAATTTTAGCAATCACTTAGGAAGAAAATGGCTCCTATGAATTCTGTTGAACTGGTGGTTAGCTTATGAA